TACATGGACGGATCCCTTTACGTAAGAGTATGCTACAGGAAATAGCGTATGTCTTGTTTACGTGCCAAACGACAGCTACCGTCTGCAGCATATGCACAGCAAAGTATGGGTTTGGCTTTTTTTAGTCACAAGTCCTTCACTAAGACAGGTTCTGCTAAAGACTTTCTTTCATTGCATTGCTGAATAACAAAGAGACGTTGATCCTGTAGTAACACAGTATTTACATGCAATCCCAGCAAATGAGGTAGGAATGACAGTAGGCTTAGTTAAACAATGAAGAAAAATCAAATAACATTTGGCAGCAAATCATCCAAGCAGTATTTGTCAGTAATTTACTGATACTCAAAAGGAAGAGTATGCAAACAATGTATTTGATTTGCTCAGTAGCAATTGTGGTGCCAGATAGGCTTGTGTAGATAAGGATTTTGGCTAGCAACAGTTTGTGTATGTACAAATAGCAACTTAGTGATAGCTAATTTAGAACAGGCCAAAGTTTCACCTTAAATTGTAACAAATTATACATTTACATGTTTGAAAGTTTGTACTATGAATAACAGGAAATTAAAACTATATACAGCCATAATAATGTTGATAAAAGATATTTTTAATTTTTTCTATAATCTTTGCATAATTGTTTTTCATATTCCTGCTTATAGTCAGAATTATAAATATAGTTCTCCACTACTTTAATTAGCACTTCTACTCTCATGAACCTGGTATGTCTGTACAAGAAAAATATTTCACCATATACTTGAATAGTTTCACCATTGCTGGAAACGTGTTCTGATTGTCTGTGATCATTCTGTTAGGGTAAGAAAGGTACCAATATGTAAGCATGTGTTTATGCACGTACAACTGGTGCCTTGTAAGCACTTCTTCTCCTATCACAAGTTCTAAAGCAGTTTTCCCTGAACATAACGAACAGGAAATCTTTTCCCTGGCCAGTTGTGTAAAACTATCATTATGTGCTACTGAGCTAAGTAAGGGATATAATTTTGTAATATTATTAGAAGACAACAATGCACATAGCACAGAATATTTCAAACTTTATAGTGTAAGGTAGACATCTTTTATTATGTTCTGGAAATGATCCCAGCATAGCTCTTCACAAAGTTATTTTCTCTGGTGATCAAGAAGTACTGAGAGTGCTCTTATTTGTACTTGCTAGTTCATGGGCTGCTGTCACAGTGTTTGCAAGAGCTTAGAAACATCTGGTACGTGTCTTTTCCTACACTGCACTTTCCTTTGCAGTAGTTTCCGAGCAGAGACATTACTAGCTGCTACACACAACCATGAGATCCCATTTATATAGGAGACCCTCCTGTAATCAAGAAAGCAACATTTAGATCAGCTATTAACCTTGCCCATAATTCTCTGATGAAGGCAAAGTGTGCCACTTTCACACTGTCGTCAATAGCACCATTGCACTGAGTTTGTTGTAGGACAGCTATACCAATCCTGCAAATACTACCTTGTTTCAATGGCTGAAGAACTAGGGGGTTTAGACTAGTGACTTCCTCCTTTCAGCATTAGCAGGCAAACAAGGTTACTAACATCGGTTTCCGGTGTCTCAGCAGATACATGGTACTTGGTGATAATCATTATTCTACAATCGCTTACTAGAGAAACATCCAGGGGATCCTTCTGAAGACAAAAATCAGAGAGGATTTTAAAAGTCTTTTTGGTACAGCTATTCATACAGGTTACATGATATGGATTTCCCGTGCATGAGCTACTCTAAATTGTTAGAGGCGTACTCTTACTGCATGGAGGGCTGGATGCTCTTTGAGCAGAAGCTGTTAGAGCAAAGGCTCTCAGCATCTTGAAGTGAAATTGTGGTTCTCAGCATAAATATGCAAAAGCTGGAAATATCAATTACAACTTATGTTTAGTGATCCAGACACAGCTGTCTGAAAATGCTCAGTGGTAGCATCAATTACAGACCATCCACCAGAGGGAGGCTCATGCATGCATACGAAGAAAAAGAAATAATTCGAAGGATGAATGAAACACCCCACCTAATATTTAAGCCAAAGCAAATTCTATTCAAAATGTTTCTTAGCAGTAGCATAGACTTCTTCAGCTTTTAAAGTTTTCAAAAGTTATTTGCCAATCTAAAGTTAACAGACCTAACAGAAAGTTTCCCGTGTTAATGACTGAATTGTCGTACTACACATAATATGCATGCATACAAAAAACTTCACAGATTTGGGCCTTTTTTTTTTAAACACAGAAGTGCAGCCTAATTTCACTGCTGTTAATAGAATTAGACCAGAGCTTATGTGGTCAGAAGTCCAACTGCATGTTCATACATTAAAAGCCCCACCCATGTTTGGTCACTAGAATAAGATACTGATTTGTTTAGCATGTTATTGAACATACTACACTGCTCCCCTTGTTAATGGAAATATTTGTTAGATTTCCCATAAAGTTTGCGTACTACTAGTGTAAATTTGACAAATAACAGTCAGGCACTTCTAGAGAATATTAAAGACAGTTTACAAACAATCTGAAGTTTTCATATTAATCCAACGGTCACATAGAGCTCTTCAGAAACATGCTCCCTAGCTAGTGTTAGCTCTAGTATCTGTGATATTAAGTCTAATAGCCTATCTTCGGAGACTTACTCAAGGAAGTTTTAGCATTTCAATACCTATCTGGGATCTTTTTTGAAACAGACATCCCAGGCTGTTGCTGCAATTCTGATTCATTTGTTTTTATCTTTAAATGAGAGGTACAGCCAGAGGCAGAGGCCATCTGGCAAGCAAACTTCAACTGAAGTGGAGAAACAAGTTTCTGAAAAACGTAAGAACATCAGAAGTTCAACCAGATCCATACACCACTGGAACAGAACTGTACTAGTACCAATACCAATAGCTGTACAGTTTTAAAGAGGAAAGTAAAGTTTTAAAGAGGAAAATCTTACAGACACGTCACGCAGTGCTACAGGGAAATGCACGTTCTTTTAGAGATCCTTGGTAGAATGAGGACTGGCTGCAGGGTTGTAGTGACAATTAGAACTTTATTATGACATAAAAATTTTAATTATCAGCATAGCTTATTGTTATCTAGAATTTCTAGTAGCTAGCATAGCTTATTCTTACACAGAATTTTTAGCAATTATCATAGCTTTCAGTTAAGCAGAATTTCTAGTAATCTGTATACTTACTGTCTAGAGTCTTGAGTTGCCTAGGCTTTCAGTCACCTGGGCCCTCTCCAGATCAGGTCAAATTCGTAATAATCAGTGTGTGATATAATAATCATAATCTACATTACCTAAAAGAACCTCCCTATCCCTGTAGCATCATGTGACAAGAGGTACCGGGCATCTTTCCTTGATTTTTTTTTTTTTCCCAATAAATAAAAATCTGCAACTTAGTTCAATCTAGAAATGCTGCCACTGGCAACGGATAAAACCCTTCCAAAGTTACTTATGGAGAAATAGTGGTGTGTATAAAGGTGATTTCATTAGAAGAAGAGGCATTGCCCAGCACTTCCTTTTGTTAGTGGATTTTTACAAGTGGTTTTCAGAAGTTCCCTTTAGAATACAAACAACTGATTTGGGTTTTCCCCACACACACTCTGTGTTAAATGCAGCTAAAAATAAAAGGAACTGGAATCATGGATCTGATTAAATCAAAACTAAAATCTTTATTACACAAATAGTATTTTGAAGATATAATACTTGACTTCAGGGGAGTTATTCTGGATTTGCTTTTGATTTCATTATGCTCTTAGGAGATCAAAACCAACTAAGCTGGTTTAGGGGTGGTTAGTGTTGCAATCCTTTTCCATGGTGAAAGATACTTTTCAACTTAATATTATGTACTACATTTGCCAGGTTTTTAAAATTCTACCTCAACATTTAGGGACATAACTGTAATGCAGTCTTAAATTTAAGAGAGTGAGCTATGCATAACTCCTTTTTTTCTGTGCATATTTTTATGGAAAATACCCTTCCAGTTTCAGTTCTGTGACTTGAACATTTCTGTTGGTGCTGCTGTTTTAGTTCCTCCTTTAGCTTTTTAGAAATGCACTTCAAAAGAAGATATTTTGACATCAGGATGACAAAATATTTTCATATTCTTTAACCAGACCCTGAAGACCTTAGGATTCACACAACATTTGAATAGTGTGTTGACTACCGAGTTTCCTAGGAGATAAAGTCATAGCCCATTGCTGGCACAGCAGGAGGACAAGGTAATAACGTATTTTCTCTCTGACACAGAGCATTTCCTCCTATAACCCCGTATCCAGACTATTCTGATGGTTATTGTTTGGCTAACGGACTGCAATTTCCCAGAGCATTACAAATACAGCTCCCACCCACTTTATTGTATTATATACTAGTACAGTCTCACTATAGGACAAATGTTGATTTCCTTTATGCCAGCATATTTCTAAAGCATTATCAACTTTTTTGCTGATCTAAAAAAAAGTTGACATGAAGGCAGTAAGCACAATATTTTTTTATGCTTTGGAATGGAATTTGATGTCAAACATAAATCACAAATGTGCATTATATCTGCCACCGCTCTTTTTTGGCTTTTAGATAATAAAATGTTGCATTACTTGTACAAACAAGAGTAGAGTAGCATAAAGAGGGTTTCTTTCTCCTCATAGCTGTTGATTAGATCAGTAACTTCAACAAAGTTGCAAGCTTCTTTAAACAGGGACACTTTGGAAAGACCACTGACATGCTTTAAAATCTGCTGAAGTATGATGGATGTATAACAAAGCAAAGTCAGGTGCTACACTGTATTTTTGTTTTTGCTTTGTATGCCAAAATGCACACAGTCTTCCTCAACAACAGGAACTGCAATATGTAGTCAGATGTTTGTAAGAGTGAGCACTAGGATGTGAGCTCATATGCCATATTAGTCTACAGAATATCAGTTAGAGAACTTTCTCTTGAGTAGTTCGCGAACATCTTCAGAATAAAAGCTGAGTGCAAAGCACCAAGAATTTTGGCAACTGAGAAGAACCAAAGAATTTCCAGAATGAGGCAAGCTGAGGAAAGCAGTATCCACTCAACGTGGAATATTGTGAGGTCAGTAGTCTGCATAATACTAAGCTTGTCATTTATTATTGGGACCCCTGGAAATTGCATCGTCATCTGGACTGTTTGTACGAAAATGAAGCAAATATCTCCTTCAGTCCTGCTCATCTTGAACTTGGCCATTGCAGATGTCCTTGTACTGATAACTTTACCAATCTGGATTTACTCCTTTGCTGACTCGTGGGTTTTTGGAGTCATCTTCTGCAAAATACTGGTTTTCGTTATTTACTGCAGCATGTATGCTAGTATATTTCTAATTACAGCACTGAGCTTGGAGCGGTTGATGGCTGTGTTTTACCCTTTCACAATTCAACGATACAAAACAAAAGAAAAGATTTCTTTAATCATGTTCCTCATTTGGTTCCTGTCTATTGCTTTCGGCATCTCTGTCGTTCCTTTTCAAGAGACAGAAGAAATGAACGGTGGACTACTATGCACATGCCGCAACTACTCTTCTAATAAACAGAAAGTATCATATCTTTTGCTGGAGACTCTTGCGGGTTTCATAATCCCTTTTTTAATTATTTGCACTTGTTACATGTGTGTTGCAAGAAGAATAAGCAGAATGACTTACCAATCTAAGCGGCGATCAGAACGGCTCATTGCCAGCATTGTGGTGGCATTCATTTTATGCTGGTTCCCTCATCATCTCTTTAACATCCTAGATATTATTTCAGTTCAGATAGAACTCTCTAATGAGGAAATGTCTTTGGCACTGGATGAAATTGTAGGCAGAGGAGTGTACATCTCTGGAGCACTTGTATTCATCAGTAGCTGTATTAACCCTCTACTTTATGCTTTTGCTGCACGAAGATTTCAGAATCACCTGAGATTTGCCAAGATATCAAAGCTGTTTGAACAGATGAGTCAGACTGTAACAGAGGAAGACAAGAAAAAAAGTTTGGTTGTAGCCAAACAAGAAGATACTTTAGTAAGCACAGAAAATCTCTAACAAGGAACATCATAGTGAATAATGTGGGTTTGTGTCATTCCTTCAGTAGTCCTTTCTTCTCGTACTCTCAGTTTCGTTTACTAAGCAGTCCAGGTGAAGCTAGAGACAGGTAAAACTCTGAGTTTGTTTTGTTATAAAAGAATTGGCATTGACAACCTAGTTCAGTTCCTAAGTTAGTATCCACATCGTGAAATTAGCAGTATTTCACTGATGCTGAGAACCTCAGCAAGGTAGCTAGACGCTCAAAGTGTAAGAAATACAGCATTTTTACTTTCCATTAAAATAGTTTGTGATTTCTAGAAAGTTTGAGTGCAGAGAACAGAAAAGGACTGTATGTAGAAAATAAGCTTTGAAAGTTTAAAACTAAGTTTTCCTTCAGAAAACATTGTTAGATGCTGAAAAATCCTTATATAATCTGTCATTTAGTTTAATAATCTGTCAAAATTTTAAGAGAGCATGCTTAAATTCTTGATATGGGTAAGAATCGCTTTAAAGTATATTAACAACACATAAAATTTTCGGGTAGATGGAAAATCTAAAGTTATTCATTTCTTTCTTCGGGTTTGAAAGTAATAAGGGTTGTTTACACAGTCAACCTCATTTACCGAATTACCTTGTGTTAATAGGTTTTAACAAGTAAAATGTGGAGTGTGAAATGCCTCTTTGGGAGGTATGAGAATTCTGTGTTGATTGGCAAATGTAGTTACAGACTTCGTGCTATATTTGATGTCAAATACATTGCATACTTCAGTGGCAGTTAAACTATTGATATATTAAATATACATACTATGAGTATCCTCAAAAAGTTTGATTCAGTTAAGCTTCCAAGATCTCTATTAAATTATGGAGGAATTGGGTCAGGCTCTGATATGAGGGAAGCAGAGGTCCTTGATACTATTTGTTATGTGTAAGAAAATGATGGTAGTAGTACAAAGCGACTAATACCATAAGAACTTCACCTTGCAAATAAAAGCGTTATTTTTTCCTCTCTTGTAGAATAGAGTGGGCTTTGCCATAAGAAACCAATAAATTTAGTGCTTGCAAGGACCTTATTTTAGTTTCGTGAATCTGTGCAAGCTCACTGCATCAAGTGTTTGCTTTTGAAATTTTATTCATTCCGGTTGTGCCAAACAGTTTTTATGTTTGCTCTTGCTTATTTTTAAGTCAATAAATTGTAATAAGATCAAGATAACTACTGATTTCTAAGAAACGTGTTGTAATTGCCTGTATGTTGTTCTGGTCAGCTACTAAATAGCTATGTTGTTCGTCTTTACAAAGAAATTACAAATACTAACTAGAACTTAATTTTCAAAATCTGGTTGTCTAACAGCCAAGGGTATTTGAGTTGTATTAATTTAGCTTGGAAATGGAAATAAACACAGGGAAGTAAAATCCTTACCTGTTAATGGAAGAATATTTCTCTAAACTTTGCATATGTATTTATGTTATTCCTGCTCGTTATGAAAAAGTAATTTCTTTCTTCTCATAGGAGGAAAGTCCACACCACAGAGGGCTTTCCATCAATAGGACTCCCTCACTGAAATGAAAGTAAATGAAACTTTAGTAAGACCTTGTTTGCAGGAAAAAGTAAGCAGCAGATGAAATCCCTTAGACTTTACCCCATCCACCTACCATTCTTTTACCCCACTAATTGCTCTTTCATTGCAATTAGTGTATTCAATATAGCAATGTGGCATTATCTCACAATAAAAGCAGCAACTTCAGTTATCTGCTCATAAAAAAGTGAAGCTGTATTTCCCAATATGTTCTTGAGGTAGCAGTCACCATTCAACAACACAAAACAGATGAGGAGATAATAAGCACCCGAGCACTGCACTGAACTAGCGTTCTAGGCCACAAGCAGCCAAGCATTTCACAACTTACAGGTCGGGAAAAGACCCAGACAGACCTTAGTACAAGCTACCTGACTGGAATTTTCCTTTTTAGCAGTCCTATACCTAGCTATAATCAATCTTCTTATTAGGAACTGGGTTAAGCCCCTAACCATCTGTGTGTGTATCAACTATCTCATGAATGAGGCAATCTTTTTTTGTGCCATTTGCTATTCAACAAGCCTTTTGGGAGCATTGACTGCATGTTAAATACCTTATGCTCAGCTATGCCTAACCCAGGGCAGACTATAAAGGGATCAGTGGCCAGATATATAGTCTGTGCAATACTGCCTACTGCAGTCTTGTTTCATTTTTGTTTGTTTGGGGTTTTTTTTAAATCAATGGGTAAGGAATAGTGAGTCAGACCTTTTTTCTTTTTAGCCTGTCACTCACAGATAAATGAACTTTGCTGCTCAGGCTGCATCCTGCCCAGCATCCAGGAGTCTTAAAAAGGGAACTAGTAACATCCACAGATCAGTAAATACATCCTAGGGAATAAGGAAGTAATTAATTAAGGCAGTTTTGAATTGAAAACTGTTACTCTGAGGATTTGGAATCGTTTACTGCCAGGTGCTGCTCTTCCACTGAAATTACAGTACTTCGCATAGAGACCTAAACTAAGTTAACTAAACAAAGAGAATGTTTCTTATGGTCAACAGACCAAAAAGCAGCACATGAGATATATTCTACTTCTGTGCTTTGACAGTAGATAGCATGACTTTTCTGTCTCAGTATTCAGTTCTCACATTTTCTCCACTGCTTTTTACTCGCAACTGCAGTACTGAAGTAGAACAGTACTTGTAGAACATGCAGTCCATCAAGGATCTGGAACCATCCTCTTATGTTCATATTAATGGCCTTGGACAGCTGCCTCCAGTAGTCAGTCATCAACTATGTTTCTTTGGAAGGCTGCTTCAGGAGTAGTAAAAGATGCTAAACCAGCAGCCTTAACTAATTTCACTTTTCTACAGAGCAAATAGAGTTAATTCTTGCAACTGCTGGTATGAGCAGATAAAAACCACCGATTTAATATTTTTGGCAACACAGCCATGATGTTACTGGGTCTGTAAGAGTCAATGTAGCAGTATAAGCTGATGATGTAGTTGACTGCTTCTTACTTTAAGAGGTATACATCAGACCTATCAATGTAGCAAGATTTACTGCTTCATCTGTGCTGACGTGCTCTGTCACAAAGCTGTAGGAATTCCAATAGGCCCATTCAGCCAATAGACAGTGGATATACCTAATGTACTGAATCCCAGCCGAACCCAAGACCTAGCATAGGCTTGGTCCAAAATGCTGCATCTTATGCTAGTGATACTTCATGATTCTTGTTGATTACGTTAAATATCCATCTTATAGATTATATTAGAAGATTGATAGAAAGCAAAGACTTTCCTTGTTTGTTCAAGCTAACTCAAAGCAGTGACTCAGAGGCAAGAGGAGACTTACTAGTAACTTGTGAGAAATGGGAACAATTCTGAGAAAAATGAGGTTTCATCTCGTTTGAGTTCCCCTTATGTTACTTCCTAACTCTTCTGTCCTTGTTTATGAAGTCTGTCTCTGTGGTTTCAGTGTCCAGCTATTTCTCATGACACAGCAAGGAAGAAGGCTGAGCTAAGAGAGGGCTGCTTCAGTCACCTGAGTCAAATCACCTCAGATTACACTGAAGTACAGGGAACATTATGTGGAACACCGAGTACTAAGAGGTGATCAGGTGGTTTGAATTTCTCATGTTTTTAAAAATTAATAAACTTAACATTAAAGTCTTACCCAGCCTGAAACTTGCTGTGAACATTGCATGCGTATACAGGAATTTATCACATTTACTGAAATAGAATCATGCTGCGTAAAGTGAGTTCATGGTCCCTTCCAACCCCTAACATTCTGCGATTCTGTGAAGGAGTACCTGAAGTATTTTTAGTTCATACATGGCCAATATACAAGAAGGATTAAAAAAGAACATGAAGAAAAAGTATCAGTATTAAACCCTTTGTTGCCTGCCGACATCGAAAGTTTTCTGTAAGCCTCATGGTAAAATAGTTATTACAGAGGTCTGGATTAGAACAGTGGAGCTTTGTGGATATTTAGAGGCAACTTCTAATTTAAGAGGTAACACAAGGGAAATCGCAGAGATCCTTATTTGCACACAGAAACAGGGCAACTGCATTATACTAAAGAATTTTTTTTTCTTTAATAAAACCAACAGAACATTGTCTAGGAAGAAGTAGAGACATTTTAAGTTAAGAGAAGTTAAGAGACATTTTAAAGACATTTAGAACTGCAGTTACGGAGCTCTTAGGATTACTATTAGCAGGACTAAAAGAAAGATTTGCATGCAGGACTTGGGTTAAAGAAGTAAAAGAACCTGGAAGCTAACAGATGGCATGGAGACTACACAGGCATGTGAATTCTTTCACATTCAAGCAAGAGTCTGATCCATAATAAGTATTTTTAGAAGATACAGAATTAGCCAATATTAACAATAGTGAAGTTTTTCTCTGGTTTTATATCCTACAACTCTTGTATTACTCCCTTTTCTGCATGTATAAGGAAGAGTAAGGAAAAAAATAATTTGGTTGGAGTGGAAAAGCAAGTGAGAAAAGTCAGTTAAGATTATTAGGAAGAATATTGGATGAAAATGAGAAGTTCAGATATGAAAGCTGAGTATACAAGGAGAACAGAGAGGGAGAGGAGAACTATTCTGGTGCAAGGCAGTTTCAGGTTTTAGTAAATGCTTTCTTGTCAGATCAGTTAACCACTAAAACAGTTCTTTATTAGAAGACTCCTTGGCTAGATCTCCACTGGTTAATAGGTTAAAGAAAAAAAAAAATCTAATAAAACGCAGTTTAGAAAGACGTAACCCTGTCCTCTGAGATGGTGAGTAGCTTATGTTCCTCCTGTAGCATTAGAGTTGGGTGTGACCAGGACTATGACGACAGCCACTAGGATTTCAGAAACTTTACAACACTGTTCACAGTACTAAGAAATTCTTGTGCTGATAGGTATGGAGATAACAGAATCTTATGCGATTTGATTCCTTCATGTCTTCTTTCCCTTTAAATCAATTATTTTAAAAGTCATGCTAGTGGTTCTTAGTCAGCGTTCAACATTTTAAACTAGATTAATTTAAGTTGAATATAGTTTCAGATTAGAAGGATACTGTTTTTCAGGAATGTGTGAAGTCACTGATTTAACTGATGGAATTAAAGGAAAGGATGCTATAAAGTCTTCCAGTACAGGTTAAACAGTCACAGCTCTTAAGTTAGCAAGATTATACATCTGCTACCACTGCAGAATCCATTTGTTCTTAATTTAATAGAAATCAGCTACCTGGACTGCGTCTTGATTGCAAAGGTAACTGGTTACACTCCAGTTTTTGCTGCAATTGTGTAAGTACTAACAGTGTGTACAGCTAAGTGCATTACTATTTCCATTGGCTATTAACTAGAAAACAGTGCTAACTGTACTGAGGCATCTAGAAACATTATATTGAAATTATGGGTGTCCATAAAGTGAAGTGTATGTCCAGATGGTCTTAAATCAGAGGGTTAGTAGTTCAGACTGCTCTTAGTAGATCTTAAAGTGAAAATCTTCACTTTTCCTTTTTTTATAGCAGACCTGTTCATGATATAGCACACTGAAATATTTAGCCCTTCATTTTTTATGTATTTTCAGAGAATTATGAAGCGCCATTTATGGCCTGTCATTAACCTGGTGGTGTCACCATAAAAGGAAAATAGCTATGTGAAGATCAACTCTATAGTCATTGACATCT